CCGCTTCTGCGGTTAAATAACCGCTTCCGCGACACCGCTTCTGCGGCAAAAGTTCCGCTTCTGCGGAAATCACTAAGGCCCCCAGGAACCGCTTCTGCGACTCAAATTCCGCATTAGCGGTACCGCTTCTGCGGTCAACCTCCCGCTTCTGCGGAAGTCCACTTAAAGTCCAAATCTCGCTTCTGCGGCCTCCCCTTCGCACATGCGACCTCGCTTCTGCGGTCCAAATTCCGCAGAAGCGGAAATACCAGAAGCAGCACACTTTTCCCTTTTCACAAGTTCAAAACTTCCCGTTAACCATCCGAAATCACCCCGAGGCCCCCCGGGACCTCATCCAAAAGCACCAACACCTCCCATAACATCATCCGAACTTGTTCCAATCATTAAAACACCTCAAATAACACCAAAACCATCAAATTACATCGAGTTCAAGCCTAAGTTTTTCAAAAACTTCCGAAATGCACTTTCGATCAAAAACCCGACCAAACGACGTCCGAATAACCTGAAATTTTGCACACACATCACAAATGACATAACGAAGCTACAGCAACTCTCGGAATTCCATTCCGACCCTCGGATCAAAATCTCACCTATCAACCGGAATTCGTCAAAATACTAACTTCGCCAATTCAAGCCTAATTCTACACCGGACCTCCAAAATCGCTTCCGATCACACTCCTAAGTCACAAATCATCCAATGAAGCTAACCACATCATAAAGACTCCGATCCGAGCTCATATACAAATAAGTCAACTCTTGGTCAAACCTTTCAAATTCAAGGCTTTCTACTGAAACTGTTCTTTCAAATTCATTCCAAATTTTCTGAAACTAAAACCGACGATCTACATTAGTCATAATACATAACACGGGGCAAGTCATGCCCGAGAACTGGCGATCAAAGTGCAAAAGCTCAAAACGACCGGTTGGATCGTTACAAAAATGAAAAAGCTTCTGTTGTTCTAGGTGTGTTATGAATTCTCTTATTTCAGAAGTTACAGGCAGAGTTGGCATAAGAGCACTATATGCATCCCACAACAGTTTAAGTCTAGAATGATAAGCAGAAATACTGGAGGTACCTTGAGAAACTGTAGCAATTTCGCAATGAAGATTGTAGATCCTTGATCCATTGATTTTGTCAAAACGATCCTGTAAATCAGTCCAAACCTCATGAGCATTACTGGCATAGACTATCCGATTCACTAATTCCGGCGACACAGTGTTCATAATCCAATTCAAAACTGTGGCATTGACACGTTCCTAATCCTCGCCTAGATCATCAGTGAATTGATCCTTAGTGCGTGTACCATTTGTGAACCCTAGTTTTCGTTTAGCTTTCAATGCGATCTTCGTTGCTCTGCTCCAGACCGAATAATTCTCGCTCCCAATCAATCGGACTGAAATTATTACATTTACCTGCGCATCTGAAGGTTCTAGATACAACAGATGTCGCGGATTGTCAATATTCAATTCAGCCACTGTCAATTTACTCAGAGATTGGGGATTTGAGAATAGGCAAAGAACAATTGAAAATTCTCTCAACGATTTCACAGAACAACTCTTAAAACCAGAGACTCACAACTTCGATCGATTCTTTTCAGTTGATACCATGTTAAATCCACCATTACTGAGTGATGTCGAGCTCAGCTAAGAACGAAGATGAAAGCTATGGAGAGAAGCTTCTGGACAGTTGCATTTTCTCTATATTGAGAGAGAAAAAAATCAATTACAACAATTGATCCTTACAGATACATACACGTATATATACACTCCAAACCAGCTCACTTAATTAGTACTAACTCCAACACTAATTCTGTTATAACTAACTTCTAACCTCTAATTAAAACTATGCTAAAGTGACTGCCTGTCACTCAATACTCTGTCTCAGCTTCTCAGCTTCTCACTGTACACAGCTATCATTTTAGCACTTCAACAGTTAAAGCCTCAGCACCTCCTTGAACTTGATACCATTTATTTGATGTGCACTTAAAATATTTTTAGTCCAAATTATTTTTGAACTTGGCAGCCTCAACATCTTGAAACTCAAAGAAAGATAATTGTCGGTCAAACGATACAGGACAACCCAAAATGAAAAATTAATCTTATGCAGCAATCTTAATAACGTTCAAAACAAAATGAATAAAATACTTCCTTCGGTCCACAATAAGTGACCAATTTGCTTTGAGCACACTCATTAAGGAAATACTAAATTCTAGAAGAAAATAATTAGTGTGACTAAACTACCCTTCATTAAATGTTGCACCATAGTTATAGTAGCACTTACTTCTCTTTTCAAATGTGAGGAGTAAATAACTTTTTAGGGATACGTACATAAGAGTAATTTTGGAAAATCAAATTGAATTTTTTCTTGGATATATATATGGACACTTATTTTGGACCAAAATAAAACACTACTAAAAAATCAGGTTTTAGCGATGGACAAACTCTGTAGCTAAATAGAAAAATCCGTCGCTAATCTCATTTAGCGACGGATTAGCAACGGATTATCATGAAATTCTTCTAGCTACGAGCGCTTTAGCGACAGATTAGCGACGATATTCGTAGCTAATTCCAGTTTTTTTTTTTGTAGTGAAAAAGCAAATTAATCACTTATTGTGGACCGGAGGGAGTAGTAACCTAGTAGTGGCAGCGGCGGATCCACCATCATTTTATTCAAAACAGAACATAAATTTATGTATAAGAGTTCACTATAGTTACAACAAAGAGTAGATATGAACAAGGTTACTTTACAAATATAATGAGTTTAATGCTAAAAAATATTAAGGGATTTTTATCTAGCTATACTATAATAAAAATCTATTTACCTCTTTTATTTAGGTTCCTTATTAATTACTTTGTATATCTATATTTACAAGTTATATACAAAACCATAAAAAGAAGAAAATTCAAGATCCCTTAAATTTAGCCTATCAGTTACATGATACCCACCCCCCATTTTCAATAACCCCTACATTTAAGATTCTATTCCTTTTCCAAGGGATTTCAAAAATATTTTCTCTCTTTCTTAAAAATCACCCAAAATTTCTCTTAATTGTTTATAACCACTGTTAAAAAGGGCAGCCCGGTGCACTAAGCTCTCGTTATGTGTGGGGTCCGGGGAAGGGCCGGACGCAAGAGTCTATCGTATGCAGCCTTACCCTACATTTCTGCAAGAGACTGTTTTCACTGCTCGAACTCGTGACCTCCTGGTCACATGGCAGCTACGCCACGGCTAGAACCCGTGACCTTCTGGTCACTGTTATCCCCCCAAAATTATCGATTCTTTTCCTTTTCCAAAGCTTTTCAAACCCAATTTTCCTCTCTCTTACTAATCACCCAAAATATCTCTTTCTTATTGATATAATGCAGACAAAATTCGGAATATTGCTTTAGAATCAAGTTGTGGGTAAGTTTTGCATTTTGTTTTATTTCTTTCTAAATTTTTATTGTATGTGACTTGTATATGATACTTCAAACCAAAACAATACTTGATACAGTACTAATACAATTATAATAGATTTTTAATATAGAGTTGTGAATGAAACTTGAAAAAGATGAAGATCATAATTGTATCACAATTTTTCAGAAATGTATCGCGATTGTATTATAAATGTATATGTATCATAATTGTTGAAGGAATTGTATTACTAATGTATGATAATTGTATATTCATTGTATATTGTTACGATCGAGCAATTGTGAGTTCGTGACGAATTTCACAGTTTGTATCACAAATATATGATAATTATATATTGTTTTATTAGTATTGTGCGTGTATTATTTTGGATATTAATATACCATATAGATACAATTGTGATACAAATATGATATAATTATGTTTTAAGCATTGATGTATCCGATACAATTCAAATACAATTATGATACAACTATCATACAATTATCATACAATTCCTGAATATTTCTTCATTTTCAGTGTTGTCCAGTCTCCCAGCAAAAGAACGATGCAATTGATGATTTAATGATATAAAGCTGTCGGTGTAGGCATGTAAAATTTATTTAATTTAAATTCAATAAATAATTCGGATTATATTTTAAATATACTAGTCCAAATAAATATATAGACTAATATAATTGAATTAATTATATAATTAAGTCCAATATAATTGGGTTACTAATGATGAGCCCACTTCATTAGGCCCAAGATGTCATCTTCCTAGAGGCCCAGTTTGGTGCCACGCGTGAAATGACGTGGCACGGCAAGTCAAACGGAAGAGCCAATAGGATCATGCCATGTGTCAAAATGACAAGGCATGCCAAGTCACATTAAAAGGCCAATAAAACCGTGCCACGTGTGCAAGTGACATGTTTTGGCCAATCAAATGCGGCCTTGTCACACTTCAATTTGATTGGTCGGAAAGAGTTTGTTCTTATCATAACTATTCCCTCCCACAACTATAAATAGGGGTCTTCAGAACCCAGAAAAGACACCAGAAGTTATAACAAAAAGCAAGAGAGAGCTCGTGGATCAAACGCCGCAAATTTCTCTACAAGTCTTAAGTTCAAGAAATCAAGTTCAAGCTCAAGAACGAAGAACAAATCAAGATTCAAGGAGTACGAGTTCAAATCAAAGTTCGTGCTAGTTGAATTCGAGATCATCAATCGTAGCAACAACTACATATTCAAGATCAAGCTCAGAGGCCCTTGAATTTGTTTACTATTGGAAAGAAGAATCAGAGGATTCATAGAGATTGTACACTCACATATTTGAAATAGAATACTACGATAGTTGCAATATTTTTGGTCTTGATTTTATTTTCTCGACGCAAATTTATTGTCTACAGAGAGAAGATGGAGATTATGGGCATAGATTAAGGGATTTTGATGTAAAAAAAAAAGGAGAGAGAAGAGGAGAGGGAAAAAAAGGAAAGGATGTAATTGAATCCCTTAATTGAAGGCACTAATAATGGGGTGAGAGTGAGCAATCTACATAATTTGTAAGAGAAACCTAGATATTTATTAAAAATTAAAAAACATAGAGAATATAGGTAAACATAGAGAACATAGGTTGAATCCACAAAGTTTAAATGCTGAATTCATCTATGAACCAATTTCATTTCGATAATGACTTTCAATCATATGTTGGGCTAACAGAATTTATGACTACATTAAGGAATGCACACATCCATTTAGGAACTTAATTAGGAGGAAAATTAATTAAGGACATTTAGGGCCTCCTCTCTTGGTCTTCCAGTTATTGTAGCAAGGGCAAAATTGCTTGTTTCCATAGGTTCCTGGAGGCACACAAAGGCACTTCGCACAGCATTTTTGACAGAAAAACATGCATGGTTTCTTGAATGCTGTCTTTGAACATCTGTATATGCACCTCGCTCCACACTCTGCAAATTTATACAGACACGAAAAAAATTGCCTCAGTCATCTCTAACCACTTACTTCATCTTAGGGGAGTAGAAAATGACCCAGATGTTTAAAACTCGCCGAAAATTCAATGGGTTGAGCATTTCTAATAAATGAACTAATTGTGTAAATATTTTTTATTTCGTCAATACATATAATTTAAACTCTAAATTAGCCGAGCACCAGAATTCTCATACCTTGAGGATGGAGGCTACCAGGAGTGATACCATACTAGAAAAACAATTAAAGACGCAAGGGTTAGCGACTTAATTAGGATGAAAAAAGAAGTGTAGAATTCAAATTGCTGTTGATGCCTCTTTCTCCTAACAATTCTTACCATAAGAAAAGTATTGGGAGGTTGAGCCTGAGGTGCTGGAGGCTCTGCTATACTTGCCTGCAAAACATTAATGTAAGGCATGTAATGTCGCCAACAATCAGAACTGCTACTATTACTACGTCTCAATCTCAAATAAATTAAGATCGGCTATATGAATTCTCACCGTCCATATGTCACTTCTTTTAAACTCATTTTTGTCGTCATTAGTAACCAAAAGGAATTGATAAAAAAAAAAAAAAGAGGAATAGGAACTTACATGGGTTGAAACAAGAAGAACCATTAATAGAATAAGATGGAGTAGTATTACAAGACTAGGCTTCCTTTCCATTTTGTTTCTCCGTCGATACAAATTAATTGACCAAAGTGGGAAGTGGGAGGTGACTACAGGGAGATTGTTAGCTGAAGAATTCATAGGCAGTTATTAGTGGTTTGTCTATATATATGACGTTTGAGAATTTTATTGGTATATCATACTGTTCTCTCATCTCTGCATGGGGGAGGGTGCAATATGTTAAACAGTACATATCTGATAGCAACATTGTAACGTATTGCCAAACTTTCGGTTTTGTAAAATTACTTTTACATCCTCGTCCCTTCTTTCTTTTTTCTTTTTCCTTCAATTAATATTGTTGTTTTTGTTGCTCGTTTTGGATAAGCAAGAGCTTAATTCACTTTAATGGTTTTAAGATTTTAAGTTATATCACTAAAGGAATTAAAAAGGAGAAATAACTTTGTACTAAGAAGAGTCAAAGTACACCTAGGAGGTCTCATCTAGTAAAGAAAGTGAAAACTGTTTTGAGAAAGTGCAAAAGGTAAACATTTAATTGATGTAGAAAAAATGTGCCTTACTCATTTAAATTTCAAAATTTGTCATTTTTTAAACTATTGATAAGGTGTAAAAATTAATCATGAGAGCTTATAGAATATGTGTGGTTTCTATAACAAGAGCAAGAAAATTACGGAACTTAATATACGAAACTTAATATACGACACTGACGGGTCACTTGGTAGGATGTATTAGGAAAAATAATAGATGTATTAGTTTTGGTATTATTAATCCCTTGTTTGCTAGTGTTTTTCAATATAACCTATGTATAGCTAGTACTCGCTTATTAGTTATACACCATATTCAGTATTATTCTTTATACATAGCAAACCATAACATTAGCAATACCATGAGTTCTAACTTCTAATACATAGATAAGCATGTACGAAGACATAATTGTCCTTTCAAAACCTCTAGGATTTGTTTGGTAGCAGGGTACAGGGTAAGTTATTCATGTATTAGGAGTAACATAACTATATACCTGTTCGGTAGCCTTTAGTTACTGTATGGGTCGAAATCCGACCACCAGATGGTTATCATTAAAGGGAATGGTAAGGGGTCGACCAAGCCATGGTCGTGCCCACGAGACGTAATGGCGACGAGTATCTGGCCACTGCCGAGATCGAGCCATCAGAAGGCTTACACAGCAGGACATAATACTAGGGCGAGTGAGGAGAAGTGCAATCATGAGAGGGCACGTAGGTTAAGAACCGTTGGGTAAAAGGAGAAATTGACAATATATATAAGGAAGGTAAAGCAGAAAGGGAGGGGGGATCTTGAATAAGGAGAAAAAACGTAAGATACGGAAGAGACTTCCAAGGAACAAAGGAAGAAGTCTAGATTTTGGGCTACAAACCTTTGTAATCTCCATTGTTGAATCGACAAAGCTAGATCTCATAGTTATCAACGAGATTCCTTCCTTATCTTCTTTGCTTTTAAAAATATGGAACAGTACCTTGAAGATGTAAGCTTATTATTTACATTTAGTGCCTTTCAATCATTCTAAGAAATGTTGTATAAACTCGGTCTCTTTGATTTTAGTACCCATTATGCTTAGATATAAAGCCGATTATGTTTGGCTAAGATTTGCCCTCTATTTTATCATTAATTGGTTTAACTAAAAGGCTTAACACTTTTTGATCAAACAATTTGGCGCCGTCTGTGGGGATTTCTTAGTCAAATTCTTTAGTTTCCTTTAGATCTAGAACCAGCCAAGTATTACTTCCAGGCAGTTACAACCTCACCATCTCGGTGACAACTCCAACTTGGAAAGAATGGTGGATAAGTTTTTGAAATAACCGTATCAATATAGGTCAGATCCCTACACAAAATAAAAATTATGACCGATGTCTATACGAGACCCATGCCCCACCCGTAACAGTGGGTTTAGCAAGTCATATGCACGATTGAAGTAGAACCACAGTCACTATGTGCTTGGCATGACCGCGATCCCATGCGATGTATTCACCCTGTATATCGACCTGTACTTCCACCACTTGGGAAGGGATAATAACCTACTGCAGGACCCTTTGGAATATCAGGCATATCCCGCATTATTTTCGTATCACGCACGCTAGATGATTTATAATAAAGCATGACATATTTCCCTTATTGTTTACGCATATCGGACTGGGACTCAGCCTCGGTGTCCCAACGGGTGAGGTAAGCCCAACTCACGAGAAGTCTAGACGCAGTTAAATAGCGAAGCTAAACGTGGCTGCCAAATCAGAAACCACTATCCGAGTACTAGGCGGATCGAGTAACCCTACAACGCTGCCCCTCCTTTCACTGGCTTGCTAGGCCGAGGTAATAGTCAATTTCATTCGGGTTTATCCTTACTCTTTTGTTGGTTCGAAATAAGAACGCGAGCGCTCGCATAGGTACGCAAGCAAGGTACCAACGCTGCCGAAACACCCCAGAAAATGGTTTCGTAGCATGCCATCTCGCAAGTAATGACCGAGCAAAACCCTCTAAGCTGCAACGTATCACAAATAACAAAAATGGCTCGTTACAGATCAACTATCGAAAAACAATCTCCAGTAAAAGCAAAATCAAGCAAACTGGGACTCACCCATGAAACACGCGACATTCTCCAATAAAAGCAAAATTGAGCGAACTGGGACTCACCCAGGAAACGCACAACAATCTCCAGTAAAAGCAAAATCAAGCAAACTGGGACTCACTCATGAAACACGCGGCATTCTCCAATAAAAGCAAAATTGAGCGAACTGGGACTCACCCAGGAAATGCACAGTACTCTCCAGTAAAAGCAAAATTTAGCAAACCAGGACTTGCCCCGACGCACGCGTAAACAACACGGCGACGAATAATGTTCCCCAACGGAAATAACACAACGGGTTATAATTTCGACCTTGCTCGAGATAACACCCCTACGACTATCGACCTTCGCCAAAAGAGAAGTTCGACCTCGCTCGAATTCACAACGAGTTATAATTTTGAGCTTGCTCGAAATAACACCCTACGGCCATCAGCCTTCGCCAAAAGAGAAGTTCGACCTCGCTCGAATTCACAACGGGTTATAATTTTGACCTTGCTCGAAATAACACCCTTACGGCCATCGGCCTTCGCCAAAAGAGAAGTTCGACCTCGCTCGAATTCACAACGGGTTATAATTTCGACCTTGCTTGAAATAACACTCCTACGGCCATCGACCTTCGCCAAAAGAGAAGTTCGACCTCGCTCGAATTAACAACAGGTTATAATTTCTACCTAGCTTGAAATAACACCCCTACGGCCATCGGCCTTCTCCAAAAGAGAAGTTCGACCTTACTCGAATTCACAACAGGTTATAATTTTGACCTTGCTCGAAATAACACCCCTACGGCCATTGACCTTCGCCAAACGAGAAGTTTGACCTCGCTCGATTTCACAACGGGTTACAATTTCGACCTTGTTCGAAATAACACCCCTACGGCCATCAGCCTTCGCCAAAAGAGAAGTTTGACCTCACTCGATTTCACAACGGGTTATAATTTCGACCTTGTTCGAAATAACACCCCTACGGCCATCGGCCTTCGCCAAAAGAGAAGTTCGACCTCGCTCGAATACACATGGAAAAATTGACTTCGCCTAAATTAGTAGGTCGAAATTTAGTCCCGCTCGAGTATACAAGTCGGAACTGACTTCGCCCAAATATGGCGAAGCTAAATTCGACCTCGTCCGAATTAAGGTTAGTTCCGCCTGAGCTGGTAAATCGTAAGCCGACCTCGCCCAATCTCGCAAGTTCCAATTCACAATCAAAAGAGTTAGGGACTCATCACAGTAGAAATCAAAAGATACACAAATAAAGACGAAACAACTATTTTATTCAAATGTACATGCGCAACGGCCGCACCTTACAAAAGGCCGAAGTGGCCCCTTGGGAAAAGATGAAAGTACACAACGAAAGAAAAAAATAAAAACTAAGTACATAGGATGCAGCAAAAGCTTCACTCCGCATCATCCCCACCGCCGTTCTCCCCAACCTCATCATCATCATCAGAAGGGAGCTCGTCTTCGTTATCAATGCCCTCCCCAGCCTCCGAAGTCGCTGAGTCATATCCACAGGCAGTGCGAGCCTCGCGTGCCTTTGCCCGAGCATCTTCAAAGGTGGCCTCTGGGACAGTCCCCGCCTCCCACAAACCCTTGTAAATATCTCGTTGGGCCTCGGCGTGGACCCATAAATCATATAGGCGGCGTGGTATCGCGGTAGAGGCAGACTCGACCTGGGCCAACAGTTGTTCCTTCTCAGCCTCGAGCGCCACGACCCGGTCTCCTAGGCTCGAAGCCTCCCGGTCGATTTCACCAATACACTCCTCGAGCCGCGTCTCCCTCAGCGTGGCCGTAGCCCTCTCAGATTCCTGCTCAGATTGGAGGACGCGGATAGTGTCCTCCAGCGTCGCCGCCCTCGCTAAAGCCGATGTCCGAGCCTCCTCGGCACTTTCCATTTCGGCCACTTTCTTTTCTATCTCGACCAACTTCCCCATCCATTCTGCGCTCAAAGCTTCGACTCTAGTAGCATTCTGCTTGAGTTCTGCTTGCAGAGACAACACCTTCGCCTGAAGGTCCTCGCACTCCGCGGCAACCCCTTTGCCTACCTCGAATTCCTCGTCTTTGGTACGGAGTAGCTCCTCGAGCTCACTGCATCTGCGGATGGACTGCATCAGCTCTTGATCCCTTTTCTCCAACTCTTCCTTGATGGCTTGGGAGCCAGTACCCGCCCTGAGCCGCTCGTGCATCTCAGGGCATCTGTTGCGATACTGCTGATACTTTTCAAGCATCTGCAGGAAAACCTTGGCTAGAGTCTCGGCCCTGCAAGCACTCTCGATCTCCAGGATGTAAGACTAAAAACATAGAGAAGAAAGGAGTCGGTAAAGACCAAGGTCGCGAAGCAAAAAAAACAAAAAAAAAACAAACCCAAAAAAAAATGAAGAGGGAAACTTACCCTCAGGCCCATCGCAGCCACGCCGCGTGACAATTCAGCATCAGTGACATCCTGAAGAGCTCCGCTTTCTGCGGCAGAGCATATAAGGTCAAACTGCGGCACAAAATTCACCGTGTCTCGCAGAAGGTTGAGATCCGACGGAATTTCAAGTATTCGGTAAGGGCCTCCCGC